GTACCTGGGCCTTGTATTTGACAGGGGTCTGCACTGGGCAGACAACACGGTAGCAATTGTGGTAAGGGCGAAGGCAATTGCTTCCTTATACCCCGGTCTTAATAAAAACAGCCTGCTCACAATCAACAACAAAATCATGCTATACAAATCTATGATGAGGTCAATTATTACCTATGGGGCGGTGACCTGGGTCACCAGTGCGGCGACCCATAGGTATAAAATTCAAAAGATTCAAAATAGGGTACTGAAGATCATCGTGGACGCGCCAATGTACACCCGTACCCAAGTGCTCCACGACGATCTTCAGATCGACACAATTGAGCAGTTTGTCGCCAAGCTCTTGACCAATCACTACCAAAAGGTGGACGTCAGTCAGAACCCCCTTGTCCGTGAGTCTCACACTCGCTCCAGTTCTCAAGACACTTACCGTCTCCCCAGAGACTTCCTAACCCCACAATAAAACCCACCCTATTTCCTAAAATGTCAGTATTTGTTCCACTAATTTAGAGGCCCTCAGCCTAAATTTTCATCTTTTCACTTTTTAATAATTTTTATCATTCATCTCACTTTCAATTAATAACGTTAATAGTTCGCCCTTGAACTTAATCAAATATTCGTTGAGATCCAATATACCTACAGCGACAACGAATAGGAATTTATCAGTTTGTACTTTCCGAATTTTTTTCAGTCTAATTTGTTCCTCAGAAATTACGGTCTGCATCTATTTACGCCGAAATTTAAAGATTTCCTATAACCGATCCTGTTCTTTTTGTTTTTCTTTATGTCTCCGATCTTCTTGTTGTTGTGAAAATACTGCAAGCCGCTCCTGTTCTTTCTGTCTTCTTCTTGTTTTTCTTTCTGCCTTTGAGCTTCTTGTTGTTGTAAAAGTGCTGAAGCTGGTCTTGTTCCTATTATTTTCCTTTCCGTCTTTGGACTTCTTCTTCTAGTCTTTCCTTTTGTCTTCGGTCTTCTTCTTGTCTCTTGCCGTTCAAACTTTTTATGAAGTCCACCAAGATTTGATTAACTTGCTTCATTTCGGATGTTGTCAGTTTGCTGTCGTATCTTCACCATAGGAATACCCTGCATAAAATAGAACAAAATAAGGTGGACTTGTTTTTCGATATCGAAATTAGTGATGAAGTCACTGTTCTTGTCAAGTCAGGGTATCCAAATAGAATTCTATAGAAGTTTCTAGAATTTTCAGGAAAATCCGCTTTTGAGTTGGTTTTTCGATGTCGAAGCCAGTAGTAATGGTGCTAATCTTGTATTACTTACTTACGGTTTCCGAATAGAATTCTATAGAAGTTTATGGAATTTTCCAGAAAATCCGTCTGTGAGCAAGTTTTTAGATGTCAAATCTGGTAATAAAGTCACTATTCCATTTCAATAAAAGTTCACTAATTGTTCGAATTCGGAATCCCAGAAAAGATGCGCTGTGCCCGACGTAAACAAGTAATTTTCTTAGAATCCTCGCCGGGTTGTTGATGCATTTTCGTAACAATAATAAAGCAAATACAGGGAAATATTGGGGAATTAACAGAAATTACGCAGGAATTATGTTGAATATTAGAGACATACCGGAAATATGAGGGCAATATAAGGCATTAGGGGGAATTATGAGGCAATATTGGGAGTTACTGGAAAATATAAGAAATAAAGGCAATATTTGGGAAATAATTCCCCCAATGATGGGAAATATATGTTGAAAATTTCAGGGGTGGTTTACCCCTTTTGACCAACAATTTGCCGGTGAGAAACTAAAAAAAAATCTGGTTTTTATATTCAGGTCCGTATTTAAAAATATAAAGTTGATGATGTGCCTAAATAGACGAAACGTGGGAATTAAAATCTGATAGCCTATTTTATAGAGCACAAAAAATAGTCGCGACAAAGTGCTCCTTTTTTCATTGTAGCTCTTTAGATAAGGTAAATAAAAATTAAAAACGATAAATCAAAATTTTAGTTTTTCCAAAACCCCATGTTGGCCCTCGACTTTGGGACACCCCCTATACATGTCCGAAGCAAATCAGTTATTTTTCCTGGATATCATTTTCTGTTGGACATACAACAGTAGATGATATTGAGAAAAAATAGCTGATCATACGTTCATGATTCCTCTAATTCGCTTGTTTGTTATGCCTTCAATTTTCGACCTGCCGCTCTCCACCAGAGTGGCCGGATCCTCGGGCCAAGGAGTAGAGCTCCCCGATAGAACGAATGTTTTGTCCTTGTCAACGTTATCGAAAAGTGAACAAGAATGATAAAGACGAAAAATTTGTCCTCTCGGGGAGCTCTACTCCCTGGCCCGAGGATCGGCCACCTGTGAAGTCAATTTCAGTTGCTTCTAGGATTAACGCAGTTCTGCCCTTTAGTGGCCAGATCTCTGAACTATATGTGAATGTGCTTTCAAGGATGGTCTTGTAAATTCTAGTTTTGATGATTCTCTTGATATTCTGGTCCCGCAGTAGGTACCCCATCTAGTAGCGATATTGCCTTCCGTCCTTGTATATTCCGTTCCTTAATTGCTTCATCTAGGGTTCCCTCATGCAAGATTTTCATCCTCAAATATTTGTATTTAGTGCATTTTTTTCTTCCTTGCCCGTTTTTCAATTTAGGGTTTTGTTGTTCTCCTTTAATGGCCATGGTCTGTTTTCGTCACATTTACTTTCAAATCTCATTTATCGTATTCCTCTATCAATTTGAGTGTCATGTAGGTACTCTAGTGTTACTCATGTAGGTTTTCTAGATCGCAATAAGTATTACTTTCCTTCGCGAAAAAAAAGAATGTTGAACAGGAGAGCGCATTTCGGAAGTAGGTACATATTGCAAGTATTCTCTGATATTTTGGAGAAATTCTACTAAAATAAACAGAATTTGCATTCTCCGGAAAATTTCTATTCGATAGATATTTGGTATGAAACGAAACAAAAATGAACGTGTGCAGATTCTTTTTAAATAATTATTAACTTTAAAATGTTTCAGCTTGAAATTGCAATCCACATATTACATCCTTTGACGAAAACCAAAAAAAGGAATTTTACACCCAGCTTAGTGAAACCATATCATCTGTACCTAGATCTGATTAACTTGTTCTTTTAGGTGATTTTAGCGGCCGGTTCGGTACAGAGTCAGATCTATGGAAAGGCCTGATCGGCAAGGAAGGCCTCGAAAAAATGAACTCGAACGGACTTCGCATAATAACCACATGCTCAGAATATCACATTGTAATAACGAATACACTTTTTCGAAAAAAGAATAAATTCAAGACTTTGTGGCAACACTCTAGGTCAAAGCACTGGTATCTAATCGATTATATAATTGTACGTTCTAGAGGCCGAAATGACGTAATTATTACGAGGGTTCTAACAAGTGCGGTTGACTGCTGGACTGACCATCGCCTGATACGAGCCAGAATGAATCCATCCCCCCAAAGCGTAGATGTCAAAAAAAGCAGACCAAAAGCAAATTTAACATAGAACGCCTTCAAGACGGTCATATCCGGAAAAACTTCCAAGCATCTCTAAGCCAGAAAGTTCCGTTAGAGTACCCGGAAATCATTGAGGAGCACTGAAAAATATTGAAGAAAACATCTGCCTCGACAGAAACGGTCGGCTACATACAGAAGAAACATCAAGACTGGTTTGCTGAGAACGACACTGAAATTCAAGACCTTATAGATGGATAAGAAAAGCTCATAATGCATGGAAAAGCTCGACTGTAAAAAAAGGGCAATACGAACAAGCAAAAGCAGAAATTCAAAGGCAAACGCGAGCACTAAAGAACCAGAGGTGGACAACAAAATCAAACGAAGAGCAGCAAGCAGCAGCTAGCTGAATCCAACAGCACCAAGGCCTTCTAGGATGGTATACGGACCAACCACTCAAGGACTCAATTCCTTATGATCCAAAGATGGCACAAGACTGCTTAAAGACAGTTCTTCTATCAATTCTAGTTGGAAGGAACACTTTCAGGAACTACTTGACAGAGAATCACAAATTAATAATGACATTTTTAGAAACCAATACAACAAAAACTGAGCGAGGCTCCCAGATTAGAGGAGGTTGAAAAGGTAGACAACTAAAGAACAATGAGTCAGCGGGTACTGACGGCACTCCTGCTGAATACTTTGGGCAAGAAGGCGCCACACTAAATGCCCAAACCCACATCCTAATAGGTAGAACATGGATTTCTGATTCTGAGACTATACCTGCCGAACTTAGAGATACCCAGTATTATCAAATCGTCTAATCCCAACTGCCGAAGAGAACCCCTGGTACTGACGGCATTCTTGCTGAATTCTTTAAGCAAGGAGGCTCCACACTAAGTGCCCAAACCCACATCCCAATAAGTAGAATATATATTGCTGAGACCATACCTGCTGATAACTTGCTGTTGTCGCTGCCGTGAATGCCGTTGGCTACCCTCAAGATGGTTTCAAAACCTCTATTGCAGAAATTTTTGCCAAAATTTATTGTGTCAAAATACTATTTCTCAGTGCTTGGGACCCTTCCAGTAGGATCTGGTTTGGAGGAAGTTTATTATATTTGATGTTTTGTTTTTATATTTTATATTTTGTTATTTTATATTTAGTATTTTTCTTTTTTTATAGTTGTATTTCATCTTGTATAATAATTAATCTATTAATGCTTGTAAAAAATTAATATAATTTCTCACAGCAACCTTTCGGCACCCCAAGTAACTTTTAGACGAGCTCCTCGACAGGATGAGGTGGTGTTCGATGAGGTTACTCCCACAGATTCACACTACGCAGGCTTTGAGTTAAGCAAGCCAGGAATTGAGATTCCTCTTATGGAACTGAGGCTGTTGGTTACCAAATCCTGAAGAACAGTCAATACCTCGGACGAACCTGTCTATGAAGAATTTCTGCTGCCCTGCCAGAAACAAAATCATCTAGTATAACAAGGTCAAAAACAAAGGCATTGCAAATTTAGGTAACTTTATTTTTATTTACAACTTTTATTTTTCATTTCTCTTTTTAAGTATCCTCTATTATTATGAACTACTTATGTAACGATATTTTATATAACTAAAATATATTCTCTCTTTTTTAAACATATTTTTTTATTATTGGGTGTAGTAAATAATTATTGTATCCTTTAAATGTTTCAATAAACCAAAAGGTTTATTAAAACACTTATCAGGAGAAGAATATTAGAACCTACCCTAAATTGAAATTATACACCTATTTCCTAATTGTTTTTCGACATGCCTACTTTTGCCTAATCTTCCTTTACATCATAATATTTAGTTAATAAACGGACTGTTAAATTTAAATCGCAGTAGCGCAGAACGCCACTAGCTTATACTAACTAACCCAATCTTTAACACAAGCAGGAGGACGCACTTTTACTTCGGATAAAAATCGGAAGATAAACATTAGATCAGGATTCAAATTAAGTTCCACATAAGACAATCGACACTTAATATTTCACTCTCAGTAATTCAAGTTTAAATAAATGTATACCAACAAAAGTTCGTCAAGAAAGAATTTGATTGCCCGAAGAAAAACTTGAAACTCGAGGATTCCGACAAGGTTATAGATCGATAATTTACAAAAGTCGACGTAGAGCAGCAACAATTATTGCCAAAGTGATAGACAAGAATGTTGATTGTTTTTCGGATCCATTTGTGCTGCTTCTAGAAAAAAAAACATTGATTTTAAATACCTATTGAGGATAAAAATCTACGATCTAGGTTGCTAGCTTTCACATGTCACAGCAAGAATAATAATACATCAACATGTTTAGCAATTATTAAATACATTTGCTGACATATATCTGGGCGATGAAAATCATCAACAATTATTTCAGAAATTCTGTTTCTTTTCTCGTTTTTCCTGTGATGCAAACATTTAGAAAAGGAAAAAAAAAAGCGAAAGACATTCTTTATTTGAAAAAAATAAGTTCTTCTCTCACCGACTTCTTAGATACATATATTCTACTTAAATGCAACTGCATCACATAAATTTAGGATAAAAAATTTGTGATTTCATCAAATGATCAGTTTTTGGCAAAAACATAATGTTAATGAAAAGCAGAACGTTTTTTTAAAAAGATTATCTATTTAATTAACAAAACATAACAAAAACAAACTACACACACACAAAATAAAGCACATAAAAACATGAAAAGCAAAACTTTTATTGTGAGACAAAAGTACCCAATCAATCAATAAATTTTTTCGAGCGATACGCAAAAATACACATAAAATCTTAAAAAAAAATATAATTACAGTGTTCCAATGACACCACATCCTAATCTGGCACCAGCGTGTCCTGTGGTTAGAGAATCGGATTTATCACCTAAAAAAAAAAAAGATACATTGCTGAGGCTAAGGACGTGGCCAAAATGTGGTTAGAAAACTGGTCCGATCAATAAAATTCGTCGATTTTTCTTCAAAACCTATATCGAATTCTTACCCAATCCCAAATCATCTGCATCTTGATGTACCACCACAGCTCTGCCAATGATATTGTTGGTACCATCCAAAGAGATAACTGAGTCAACAAATTCAAAAATTGCAATTCCATTTACATCGGCTTCAACGTTGCCCAAATCACCAACGTGACGTACACTGGCATTTCGGCCACCGTGGGTTACCTAGAACAAAGTTGGTATGTAGATAGCGATAAAAGTTCGACAACAACAATGAAAGTGACATTAAAATGCTTGCAGATATCCTTGAAGAATGCTAAAATGCGTATTCGTTGAATCATAAGAGATAATGGCTCAAAAACTATGCGGATTATGATGAATTTGGTCAAAATCAAGGTAACAGTTCCACGATCTTTGAGTAAACTGATAATTTTAATATTATTAAACGGTGATTTTTGAAATAAATATAAGGGACGGAAATCAATTTTAAATATTTTTTATGAATTTAATGTTTAAGCTCAGCGTCACTAAATATTATAATAATTACCTACAACGTTTTCATGGAGTTTTGAAATCGTTTTGTTGTTAATCAAATGTAAGTTGTTGAATCTCGATAGCATCCCAAAAAAAGGTGGAACGATGTTGGGACTGAAATCAATTTCAGTAGGTAGGTACCTGTTTTCATGGCGTTTTCAATACCAAAACCGTATTCAAAACGATTTCAAAACTCCATGAGAACGTAGTAAATACCTATATAATATCTAATCAAACGTGTACATTTTCCCCATTTGACGACTAGTCTGGTTAGGGTCGATCAAAAGTGAAAATCTTACAAAGCATCAACTAAGTGCTATTTTGCATACTTTTTTTTAATTAAATATGGTTTTACATAGGAAAACCAAGTGATTAGAGGATATGGATCATCCTGATCCATGACAAAATATTGGGCACCGACCTCAAGCATAGCACCAGCTACGTTGAAAAGAAAATCAGATTTGGACAGAAAAGACCGGGCTCATGAGCGACAGAAAACTTAAAAATTATATAACATTTTTATTATTAAAAAGTGTATTTTATAATATGCAGCACTTTAAATGCACATATTTATACAGTATTTTAAATACTCGTTTATGCAGCACTTAAAATATACAATTATGCAGTACTTCAAAACTGCTTTTCTCCTGTGTAAAACAAGTATAATTATGAAAAGCATCACCAGTGTTCTTTTTTAGCATTACTGGGGCGCTATTTAAAGGCATATTTACAGTACTTTTCAGGCAATTGCGTTCTGAAGATACGCCAGGGCTTATGCTTTTGAATCCTAAGTGCGTCAGAAAAGGACCAGAGAACTGAGGGAAATAGACTAAAATTAGTATCCTCGTCGTTGTCCGTTTCGTGTATTTCATGCATCTGACAAGGAAGGAGTACGCCATTTACACATTTTATCAAATCGTTGCCGACAAACAAAATTGCATCCTTAGAATGTAATGGGAATGTTTTTTTCTAGGAGGAATGCGCCTAGAATGTTCGCCAAAACCATTGCGAATGTCCTGAGAATGTTCTGAGAAAAGATTGTAGAAATACTGTTTGCAATACCCAAGAACTTCCTGGGAAATCAATTAGGATATTCCTACAATATACCTATAAGATTCTCAGTACATGTTAGGGCAAGTAAATAAACTTATGTATATTTCTCCAATATATCGTTGCCGTTGACCAGCTGAAAACAAGTGACGGAGAATATTGTTCGTCGCCAAGGAAAGATTGTTTAATTATTGTCATATTGTCAAATTATTAATATATTTTGTAATTTTGTATCGAAAATTCAATTCAACGATCAGTTTCATTTATACAGTCCACTGTTGGAGCTAACATTTTGGTCCTATCGACACGGATACGTTATTGTTTTCTCCAGTCAATTTTCGCAGTCAAGGCGGGGAAGGGCCAAGGCGGTCATTGTTCTATCTGTTCCTGTTGGCATTGGCTCAGTTAAATGGTTCAACCGGGTGACGTTGGTGTAGCAATGACCTTAGGCCAATACAGGGAGTTCCAGTCTGGAATATTAGTCGACAAAGTGTTGTAAGTCCGTTCTATTAATTATTACAGCATAGATAATTGGCAATTCATTTGGTTTTGTGTTGTGTTTGAGATCTGGTAAGTAAGTACTGGAATCATTTATTGCGCAGTATTGTTGCCTTTTATATTTTTCAGCTTTGAATATTATGGTTATTATGGCGGATTTACGCAAATTGAAATTGAAAAGAGGTACTCTGAAAGGTAATTTAACTAGAATAAAAGGGTTTCTCGATAAACTTGATTTAGAAAAGCTATCCGAATTAGACTTGATTCAAATCGAAACTCGGCTAGAAAATGTTGAACCTCTTTTATCTCAGTTTAATGATGTCCAGACGGATATAGAGTGTCAATTGTCTTTAGATACAACAGCTGAGGGTGTTGAGGTAGATATAGATGTCATTATTGAATCTGAAAATGTTGAAAGGTGAAAAAGGTCAAACAATCAATAGAAATTCAAGTTGACAAATATTTCTACTGGACAGATTCATCCATAGCATTATGTTGGATTCAAAGTTGCCCAAGTAGATGGAAAACTTTTGTAGCAAACCGCGTAACAAAAATTCAAAACTTGTCTAACTCTGAGGATTGGTATCATATTCGATCAGAAAACAACCCCGCGGATTGTTTATCCAGAGGAGCCTCTAGTACTTATTTACTCGAGTCAGACTTATGGTGGAAAGGACCCACATTAGTATTTTCCAGTCCCTTAAAAGAAACTCAAAAGGTTGTTGAATTAACCTCAGACATACCTGAACAGAAAGTTCTTAGTCATTCTATAGTTTTGAGTTTTGATGGAGGTCTTTGATTTTGATTTTGTCCGATTCTCGTCTCTGCTAAAGTTACAACGAATTATTGCAATATGTTTTCGAGTTTATTTTCATCTCAAATCTAAGACTGTCTCAGTTGATATCATTCAATCCGAAGAACTAAATAATGCTCTTATTTGCTTAGTAAGAATATCACAAATCCAATCGTTTCCAAAAGAATATGCTACATTACAAAGAGGCGAAACTTTATCCACTTCTAGTCAAATTTTGAGTTTAAATCCCTATTTGGATGAAGCAGGATTGATCAGAGTTGGTGGACGCATACAAAAGGCAAATATTTCAGTTGATCAAAAACATCCTATTATAGTGCATAATAAACATCCTCTTACTGTTTTGATTTTGAGACATGAACATATAGAGTTATTACATTGTGGGCCTCAACAGCTTCTATATTCAATCCGTCAAAGGTTTTGGCCAATTTCCGGTAGTCGAATTTCCCGATCAATCGTACGAAATTGTGTTGTGTGTTTTAGGGCTAAACCAGTCGCACAGCACTATCAAATGGGAAATTTGCCTGAAAGTCGAGTTACAGCATTTCAACCTGTCTTTACACATACTGGTATTGATTATGCTGGACCAATAACTATAAGAGACAGAAAAACGAGAAATCCAAAAACCTTAAAGGCCTACGTGTGTGTGTTTGTTTGCATGAGTACGAAATGTATACATCTAGACGTCGTCACTAACATGACCATTCCTTCTTTCATTGCAGTATTAAAACGCTTCATAGCAAGACGGGGTAAACCTTTGCATATTTATTCAGACAATGGTTCTACATTCGTGGGGGCCAATGCGACGCTTTTTGACTTTATTAAGACTAATTCAAATGATATAGCCTCAACACTTTCAGCTGAAGGAATATCGTGGCACTTTAATCCGCCTAGAGCACCTAATTTTGGTGGCTTATGGGAAGCCGGTGTAAAAAGCTTTAAATTCCATTTGAAACGCGTTATAGGTGCTTCTAGTCTTACTTATGAGGATCTTTGCACAATATTAATTCAAATTGAAGGGGTGTTGAACTCCCGGCCATTATCACCGCTGTCTACGGACCCTCAGGATACAACACCACTTACTCCGGCCCATTTTCTGGTGGGAAAACCTTTAACCGCCCTTCCAGAACCAGATTACACGATCGTCGCGGAAAATCGACTGAGCAAATATCAGCGTTTACAAGCTATGGTTCATCATTTCTGGAAGCGATGGAATGTGGAATACATCTCCGAATTGCAGGCTCGAATCAAATGGAAAAAGTCTTACACCAAACTATTAGCAGTTGGTAGTTTGGTAATCATCAAGGAGGATCAGGTTCCAGTCAACAAATGGAAAACTGGTAGAGTGCTCGAACTTCATCCTGGCCCAGACAGCATAGTTCGTGTAGTCAGTGTACGATGTGCTGATGGTTCGGTATTTAAACGTGCAATATCTAAAATTTGTGTTTTGCCAATTCAGTGAACCCTTTCTTTTTTCTTTTTTTTTTTTTAAATATGATATAGTTCAATTGGTTTAATGTTGAAATTAGTTATTTCAAGGCTGGCGGCATGTTAGGGCAAGTAAATAAACTTATGTATATTTCTCCAATATATCGTTGCCGTTGACCAGCTGAAAACAAGTGACGGAGAATTTTGTTCGTCGCCAAGGAAAGATTGTTTAATTATTGTCATATTGTCAAATTATTAATATATTTTGTAATTTTGTATTGAAAATTCAATTCAACGATCAGTTTCATTTATACAGTCCACTGTTGGAGCTAACAGTACATCCTGAAAAGAATATTCCTGTTTGATTCTAAAAATATTGTTTAAATGTATATTCTCACATTCAAAGAATGTTTCTATGACATTATAGTTATGTTCTCAAAAGAATATTATACCAATATGCTTGAAATATTCTTAGAATATATCTACATATATCATTCTCAATATGCATCCTAGACATAACATTCTTGTTTGATTCTAGGGATATACTTGGAATGTTAATTTTCGCATCCAATAATGTTCCTTTCAGTCCTTTTATATTAAAGGCAGTGAAAGAGTTGTTGAAAAACTTCTCAAAAGTAAAAAAATATAAACTTTGTTTCACGAGAGCTCATACTTTTTGCCTTCCTTTTTTGACAAATAGAAATTGGCTGAAACAAATCAATGACGTCAAAAACTTTAGTCGCTTCTTAAACCAGAAGTCATTCATTTTAATTTGTCAAAAAAATTGATGTGTCATATGAATTAATCTAGGACAACACTTTTTTTTCAAGTTATGGCGTGTTCGATGTCAAAAGTATGAACTCTGGTGAAACGATCTGTACCTATAATATTTTTAGTAGGTTCTAGAATAGATAGCATTATTGTTTAATTGTTCAATTAAGATTTTTGAGTAGGTACTTTAGATAATTAGGTGAACAATATGAAAATATTCTTATCATGGTTACCTACCTACATAAACTTCTCAGCACAACTTGGTAGGTATATTCTTGATACTTGATAGAGATACAAGCCGAAAGAACATTTTTTAGGGTACATTATAATAATGTTCGTATAACAATATTCAAATAATGTTATATAAAGTAGGTTCTTAGCACAATCAGGTAGGTGCATAGAAGCAACATTCCTAGTACATAAATGGAAGTACAAAAATGAATATTTCAATCGGAACAATCTTAGAATATTCATTAAACGTTCCTAAAAGAACATTCCAAAAAACACTTTAAGGGAATATTCTGGGAATATGAATGTTCTTTCACTGTTATGTGGGATGCCATTCCAGATTCAATTACTTAATAGTATCATTGATTGCACATCGAATCACTAATGTACGCCACCTGATATAGTTTCGAAAGCTTCGTCTAATTTCAGTAAAGTCTCTATTTCATTTGAAATAATCGAATTTCTTTGATTGGGATTTATATCCAACTTTGTCCCACTCCTAATTGATTCCAATCAACTTATTTATTATCAAAGTCACCTTCTAATGAAAATGCAGCATGAAAATACTTGTAATAAAAAAAAACGTCCATTATTCACATACGTTGTATAGGTAGGAACAGTGTTGGTTTTGTCGACAATCGAACCAACCTATTCAAATAAAAAACACTTACATTTTGTGGGTTAAAGTGTGGTCCAGCTGAAGCACATCCTCGTGTAATGTCACCAATGGCATGAACGTGAAAACCATGGAGACCTGAAAATAAAAACAAAACTAATTTAACGGCAGTTTGCTCAAGTTTCAACAATCTAGAAATCTAGTGAGAGGTTGCGACACTATATTTATGATATAATCAGCTCAACGTCCTGTTTGAATATTTATTCCAATAAAATATCATTTTCGCAATTTTATTTATTATTTTTATCACTTGGATAAACACATTGAATCAACAAAAGTGTCAAGTGTATATATATTTGTCATAAGGTTCAAGAATAGAGCGTAAAGGTGAGTTTACACATGCATGGATTTAGTGGCGCCAGTGGTCGCGCCAGTTCTATTTGCACGCCAGTAAAGGTTTACACTTTGTGTGAAAAACAGAAATAAGTGGCACGCCAGTTTCACTTTTAAAGTGCTTTTCTCAGTGTGCACTATGTCGAGTGAACTTTCCGAAGCCTGTCAAATAGTCGCTAAACTTTTAGGAAAAAAAAAAGATAAAAGAAATACAGAAAAAGAAACGCAACCAACGAAATGGCCGTTTCTGGGTTGAACCATGGATTGGTCGTCCTTCAGATGCGTTTACACATGCATGGATTTAGTGGCGCCAATAAAAACTGGCGCGCCAGTAAATTTTATTAGCAAGTGTAAACATGGACTTGCATACACATTTTATATTTGCATGCATAGTCCAAAAAAGTCTGCATCCTTCTGAAATCACTGGCGCCAGTGGTGAGAAATTCGTAAGTGTAAAAAAGTGCTTGCACGTCGGCGTCCGCTCGCCAGTTTTTCGTTTGATTTTCATTTCGGTTGCTGCGAGTTCTCCTAGAAGTTTTGCAGAAGCAGCTAAAGTGGGTCGACGACCAATCCATGGTTCAACCCAGAAACGGCCATTTCGTTGGTTGCGTTTCTTTTTCTGTATTTCTTTTATCTTTTTTTTTTCCTAAAAGTTTAGCGACTATTTTACAGGCTTCGGAAAGTTCACTCGGCACACTGAGAAAAGCACTTTAAAAGTTAAACTGGCGTGCCACTTATTTCTGTTTTTCGCACAAAGTGTAAACCTTTACTGGCATGCAAATAGAACTGGCGCGACCACTGGCGCCACTAAATCCATGCATGTGTAAACTCACCTTAACATAATGTTTTTTGCAATTTGCTTACTGCATAGCATAAATCATAAATAACTATCCATGTTTGGTTGATGGTTGAGCACACGTGTATAATATTATAGGCTTTACCTGGCTCCAATCCAGTAAGATTTCCTGTTATTTGTATCCCTCCGGCCACTTCTGTGAAGTAAACAGTTCCACTGGCTTTGAAGGCGCCGTCTGGACTGATTCTAACAGCGGCTTTTCTCTAGAAGGCGATAAAAAATAAAATTCATACTTCAGTTTTTATCTTTGTTAATTTTCGAAAGAATTTTTTTGTGCGAGTCTAATGTTGGAACTTATCTACTCAGGGCTTGGCTGGAGGATACCAAGCGCGTTTAAAGGGTGGCTGATAGTTATAAGATATGATGGTCGGATGCGTTATCTAGAGATTAATAGTGATGTCAAACAGGCAGTCGAGGACAGTATTGCGATAATAAAAGTCGAACGTAGCAGTTACTCCCTGAGCTTGAGAAATGCTTGACTGGTGAAATCCTCGGAGAAGAAAGAGACGCGGCAGACCTATAGCTGGAGAAGTAGACGAGAAAATTAAAGACAGGCGGATCCTTGGATTGACAGATATGGTTGGAGATCCGAACACCTGCTTGCTCTCTGCGCAGGACATGACTGGTTCTTTCAAAGATGAAGCTCACAAATACCACGACACCAGCATAGGCGAAAGTCAGTAAAAGTAAGGCATCCGATAGTAAGTTTAAAATAGCCGTCTACAGCGCATCGTTTGTAAACAGTTGTCGTAAGCAACCCCTCACCAGTCGACTTACTCGAAAGCATAGATGTTCAACATCAACTATGCTGTCTCAGAGTCAGGTACACATATAATGGGGAAAAAACGCTCCCGAAAATCACCATGATTGCGATCAACAAATCATACTTATACCTATTTCTGCTTGATCATGATAACTTACGAGTCCTACTAGTCTAGAGCAGAGTGTTGGCAAGAATTCCTCCTTGAGGTAGAAGAGTTTCCTGGTCGAATATTTTTCTATTCTTGAGACCAGGCAGATTTCAACTAGTTGCCTCTTCGGAGTAGTTAGTTGTCCGAAACGAAAGTATTGTTTATAGGGAGTAAAAGAAAAAAAAAAAGGTGTAAATAATTACGAAAACCATAAGCCCCTAGAATCTACACCCTGTACAACGCAGCGCCTACGGCCATGCTCAGAACCCGCTGGTAATTTTCAGGTGTGACGTAATTCGCGTGCCGCGGGCCATTCGCTGGATTTATTTCTGAGACTATTAATTTTTGTGACTATATTATTGATCGTGTCCGTGAGTGTGAAGAGTTGAGTTTATTGTTGAGTGTTGTTCGTAATTAGTGTGTTAGTTTTGAATATATATTAAATTTAGGTTGTATATAATTATAAAAAAAAAAAATGGGAAAAAGATCTCGTAGCTCTGACAGTTCTGACTCTAGTTCAGACAGTGATGCTGGGCGTTTCCGTTCGAGAAAGAGAAACCGCAATGATTCCAGAAAACGTTCACCATCGGAATCACCAAGACGAGACTCTGATTGCAGGAAACGTCCTGAATCAAAGGTCGCAGATCCTCGACGAATAAGCAACCCAGGGTCACCAAGAACACCGGAACCTCAATCTACCGAAGAACGCTTCAGAAGGCTGGAAAAGATGATTGAGCAGCTAGCTGGCCAAAAATCAACGGATAGTAACGTGAACGCACCAAGAGCGAATGTTAAAGGCGACTGTATCCCCGAGTGTTCCCCGGAAAACAAAAATTTAAAAGCACAACAAAGGCTGATGAAAATTCACCAGTTGAAAACACTGAATCAATGGAATGAAATCACCACCATTTACCACATGCAATCTAGACTGGTTGGCATGGCTAAAAGCTGGTACCACAGCCTACAAAATTATAATTTGACTTGGGAGGAATGGAAAGTTTTCCTGATCATACCGATTATGCCATTAGCCTACAAACCATGTTAGACAGAAAAAAAGGCCCTTCGGAATCAATGGCTGCATATTATTTCGAGAAAATGGAACTTCTGCAAACATGTGCAATTGACAAGAAACGAGCAGTGTCCTGTCTTATACATGGATTGTGTGACCCCGTAGCTCAAAACGGAGCAAGAGCCGGCCGGTACCAGACACCAGAGACACTATACGAAGAGTACCTTTCAGTTCATCAAAATGAACAACCCTCGACGGCCTCTACATTCAGTTATTCCAAGAAAAAATCCCCAAACCTTCAAAGTGGTTCAGACCTTCGAGGAGTGATAAAGAAGGGGCAAATGAACAACAGCTTTCAGCCGAAGTGTTTCAATTGTGGTCAACGTGGCCACTTAGCTGCAAAATGTTTCAAGGTCCAAATGGAATGCAAAACTTGCAAAATGTTGAGACATGGGGAGAGCGATTGTCCTGAAAACCGTCAAGAAAAATCAGGTGGTAAGTCAAAACATTTATTATCTTTAAACGTGAAAAAATAATTGTTTTAAAAATACCTGTTATTTTATTGATTGTTGCATAAATGAGTCTGTTCTCCGTGGCTGTGTCGATTCAGGTAGCAATGCTGTCACCCTACGTGAATCGGACGTTTCGCAGCTCCACCCTGTCCAGGTAAAATTAGGCGGTTTCGCGGGCGGCTCGATAATAAGCCACCACAAAACTTTTATTACTCTCAAGGTAGATTTAGCGATTGTAATTGTTGAAGCACTTATTGTACCTGATCCGGCGCATCAGGTATCTATTATTGTGGGGCAGCATTTTATTAACCACCCAAATGTTACAATGGTAGTCCGGGTCGGTCAAATCCGCTTATTTAATTTCGATAGGGAACCACTTCAAGAAATTGACTCTTTGCCACCCTGCAAAATTACCCTTTGGGCTAACTAAAGAAGCTACGGCAATACCTCCAAATCACATAGGTCACATACCCATTTACTACGCTTCGGAATAGTGTGATGACGTATTTGTTGAATTATAACATCGAACATGGCCAAATAAATATCACTTGATTCCTCGTTGCATAACAAACGTAAAAAAATGCGGCATTTTACCAGTTCTCAATATTCAAGACAGTGAAATTATTTATGGAAAAGGCCGTGTCGCAGCTAGGGGCATTACCTGTACTGCAGGTGATGAAAATTAACTAGAATATCTCGCTATTAATCAAGAATCTGTTTCCAATTTTACAATGCACGATGTTTATAGTTGCACAGATAATGATATCCAGCAGGAAACTAAACTTAAACTTTTGGAATTAATTAATTAATATCGAGGGTGTTTTGCTACAAATTTAAATGAAGTAGGACGTATTAATACGAATATCGGGAAGTTATCCATAAATTTGACCGACGACGTGCCTGTCACCTATAAGCCTTATCGACTGTCATTTTCAGAAAGAGATACAGCTAGGAAAATAATAAAAGATTTATTAGATAATAATATAATTCGAGAGTTCCTCTCCATATGCGAGTCCTATAGTACTAGTACGCAAAAAGAACGGCGAAACTCGCATGTGCGTGGACTACAGGGCGTTGAACAGAAAAACCATTAAGGACAAATATCCGCTGCCTCGAATCGATGACTTGTTAGATAGGTTAAAGGGGTGTAAATATTTCACGAGTTTAGATTTAGCATCAGGTTATCACCAAATACCTGTAGCCGACGATTCGATCCACAAGACGGCATTTGTAACACCAGGTGGGCATTACGAGTATTTAACGATGCCGTTTGGACTCGTTAATGCTCCTGCTGTATTTCAGCGAGCGATTCACCAAATCTTAGGATCGTTTATATATACCACAGCTATGGCATATCTCGATGACTTTCTGATACCATCTCAGGACGTGCCTAGCGGGCTTGCACAGTTAGAAAAAGTTCTGAAATTTATGTAAGACGCAGGTGTGACACTAAGATTTGATAAATGTAAGTTTTTGAAGTCGAAAATCAGCTATTTAGGTCACGAAATAACGCAAGAAGGTGTCAAACCTGGTGAAGAAAAGGTAAAAGCTGTTTCGGATTTTCCCACTCCAAGAGATGCACACAATGTTAGGCAATTTTTGGGGCTAGCCAGCTATTTCCGAAAATATGTAAATGGTTTTGCTCTGATCGCCAAACTTCTAACAAATCTCACCAAAAAAATTCTGCGTTCACCTGGGGTGAGGAACAGCAATGCGCTTTTGACAACCTGAAACAAAAGAAACACGACCAACTTTAGCCGTTTACGATAGAAATGCGTCCAGGGAATTACATACAGTCGCCAGTAAATGGGGAATAGGAGGAATCCTTCTTCAAAGGTAGACAAATGAAGAGCTAAAGCTGATACATTATTTTAGTAGAGCGACAACAAGAGAAGAACAAGTTTATTATTCGTATGAGCTTGATACTTTGGCTATAGTGTATTCTCATGAAAAGTTCAGGGTATACCTGGTTGGTATAAACTTCAAAGTGGTCACCGACTGCAATACACTGAGTTCTATCTGTAAACGTCACCGAAGATGACTGCGTTTTAGCAGCACAGTTACAGGACGAACATTGCAAGCGTATACATGAAATACTTTTCAGACCGCCCATTGATTCCGAGGATAGACAGATACACAAGAAATATGTGCTGAAGAAAAATCGAGTTTTCAAAAAGACAACATCTGGACAAAGCTGGGTGATACCTAAATCAGCTCGAAGAAGAGTACTTATGTGTTATCATGATGACGCAGGTCATTTTGCAGTGGATAAAACATTGGAAGGGCTGTCGAAACGTTTCTGGTTCCCAGCAATGCGAAACTACGTTAAAATTTTTATAAGATCATGTTTGGGATGCTTATATAATAAGAAACCTTCAGGCAAAACTCCAGGGAGATTACAATGCATCGAGAAGAAAGAAATACCGATGGATACCATCCATCTGGATCACTTAGGGCCTTTCGTGAAGAGTAAGTAGAAAAATACCTATTTGATTGTAGCGGTGGACGCATTCACCAAATTGGTTTTCCTTAAAGCAGTATCAAATACAAGAGCAGCACCAGTAGTGAAGTTTTTGAATGGAATAATCGAAATGTTCGGTGTTCCACGAATATTTATTTGTGACCGGGGCACTGCATTCACTAACCAGGAATTTACAAATTTCTGTTCTGGAATGGGTATTAAAAGAGTGCTGCCCCTCGGGCCAACGGGCAAGTTGAAAGGTTCAACAGAACTATCCTCGCGTTTCTGAGGGCTAGCGTAGACGACGATGTGAACTGGGATAAGTCCCTTGCTACTGTGAGATAGGGCATAAGCACCGCGGTGAGTTCGGTAACCGGGAAATCGCCTTATGAACTATTTCTTGGTTATCAGCCACGTGGTGTAAATGACTCTTATCTCATAGCTGAGGTTTGTGACGAAGAACGAATTGACCTTCCGACTGCGGGAGCGGATGCGTCAAAACGAATCGCAGAACGTCAGCAAACGCAAAAAGAGTTGTACAACAAACGATGCCAACGTTAATAGATTTACGGTAGGACAGCTAGTCCTTGTCCAGCGAACAAAGTGTTCGAATGATGGACAAAGTAGAAAACTCGAGCCACCATATCAAGGGCCCTTCACTGTAACGGCAGTGTTAGAAAAAGATAGATTTGTGGTCGAGGATCTGGCGGGTGCAGAACGCTGCAGAACCGCGTGTAAGGGGATATGTCCCTCAGAGAACCTAAATTTATTTCTAACGGTTCTTAGTTCTAGCTTAGAACAATCGTAATGGGTTATCATTATTACCATTATTTTTTTCATTTTGTTCTAGTATATGGAAAAGGACAACCTTCACGGGGGTGCGAAGGGATCAGGTAAGGCCGACTGTAAATAATTACGAAAACCATGAGCCACAAGAATCTACACCCTGTTCAACGCAGCGCCCACGTGACCGAACAATGCCTCTCGGGATTCAGAACCCGCTGGTAATTTTCCACAGGCCGACATATCGGGATCCTTTCGAGAGGACGGGTACAAAAAAAAGGTACCTGGGATGGCATCGAAGGGAGATTCGTATTTGATGTACGGCAGTCTGAAATAAACGTTTCTTGTGGTTATAGCTTTCGAGTTTCATTTTTTTGGCAAGGAAGATTATTTTTCACGATCGTTTACAACGGGAAATGTTCCTATTCCATGTCCTTGAAGAATAGTGTACAATTTTGGCAAAACAGTGCGCATACAGTAAAAGCATCATGTCTCTCAGGCGTCCATCGAGATATTTTGGAGGGAATTAGGTAACTTATGACCAAGAGTAATAGAAAGCCACATTTGAAGCTACTTTAACTTATGTAGCGGAAACAAGGCCAGACACTACCAAAATAATACACGCGAAAAACAGCATAACTGACGATATTAGAGAGGACGTGTGTATCGACTTTTTGGAGTTTTATTAGTAAATTGCTTCGCGTGAAATTGGAATTATGTTATGTCGAAAGTTGGTCAGGTCTCTTATTGATAGAGTGCGAAAATGCCACACCCAATATTAAAATAATATAGTGTGCAACTATTAATTCATGCTAAACCATTAACCATAATTGAAAATTATCAGAGCAGCACCCATCCCCATCCATCAAATTTTCCAATATAAAACTTACCGCTGTAGAAGCCAAATAATGATGCACTGATGAGGGATGCTAGAAATTTGAAAAATATTTGCAGTTTAGAGAGTAAAATGAAGATATAAGATGTACTTTAGAGCTATACTGTGTTTTATTTTCCATCAATTAATATAGTACCTAAATAATACATTGCTATAAAAATGGGTAGCAGGTATGTACCTATAATAATTTTATAAAATAAAAGACCCAAAAGTATTTTAGTTTCTCCACAGAAAGAAATATATACTTCTGGATACGGGATTAGAAAATTGATTTCAGTTCGTTGAGCATTGCCAGACTGTCTCTGACCAAAAATTAACTCATAAGCAGATTCATTATCGATACCGAATACGTAGACGGCGAAGCTAGTGACGCCAGCGGTCCGCTGACCCCACCTTGATTCGATCAGCTCATCGGCTTTCTTCCTTCTTGTTTCTTTACAACCTAGCTGCAGAATAAACAAAAGTAAGACCTGCAGGGGTAGTTAGTTATCTTGGAACCAGGGTATGCCCTGCCTATCGTGGAAGCTGACAGGCCTCACCTAACGAGGGCCTATAGAGATCATCGGCTATATAAATAGGCGAAAGATCCCATATTAGGGGTGGCCATCCCATCACGTCTGATCCCTTGTTAAGGGCGGCCAATCTACTATATTCCTGGGGCTCGCAGAGCTTCAGCAGCTATATGGTATCTCCAATCGTAGTTTCTATGCTACTGGGGCAAGACTTTAGAGCTGTTCAGGATCTTGTGATTGTTGTAGTACAGCAACTTTCATTTAGAAGGCTTCACACACAGGCATGTCCTAGAGGAAAATATCATCAGTCCCACGCAGCATAGCCCTGCGGTGGATCGAACAGCCCTGACTGGATAACCGCGTCCACAAAAAACACCAACCACGTGCGTTCGAGATACAAAAAGGACCCAAAATTAAACATGACCACCTGGAAGGACCGCTCGCTCATTATGCCTGCAGTACCGAGAACGGTAATTGCTGCAATTGCGCTAAAGAGATACAACATTCATATGATATGGCACTAAAGTGAAACAAGACTTGCGGGCGAGGACCATCTCACCGAACATGGCGGTGGCTACACTTTTCATCGCAAGAGGTGAAGGCCTTTCAGCAAATTAAAATAGATAAGAAAAAATTTCAGATGTATCAAGAGCCAGGCGAAATATTTGTAAATTTGGCAAGCATTTCTATCGAACATGAAATCTTAGATGAAATGAATCTTAGATGAGATGACTGAGAAAAAAGCAAGAAAATGTCCAGGTATATGCAATTTTATCTTTTCTCTTACCTACCCACTTTAGTCCATGTGATTTTTATACTGTAGGTACATGGCTGCTGTAGATTATTTATTTGGCGAAACTAATTTTAATACTGAACATTTAAATTGTGAAAAATCAACAAGAGTTTTTTACACTTTCACATGAAAATTAGCTTAAATTGATTGTTAAATGTCTGTCCAGAATTTTCCCTTAGCTAATAACCTATAACCAAAGTTTCTATAACTTACCTCTGCTGACGCAACAGCAACAAATGCTAACACCACAAAGTACTTGAACATTTTCAATGTTGATCCTGGAACAGAAAAATTACAACTGATGAAAAAAACGCAACGATGATGATTGTATGGAGAATTTAAAAAAAAATGATGCCAAGGAGAAGGCGAAAGTCGACCAATAACCCCAAGATATCTCAGTTCGGTAAATATAATTCACTTAAAGGTAAAAATAATAAAAATGTATAGAGTGTTCCAATACTCTTTTTTCTATTTTCAATTCATTTATTAGTTTATAAAAACTAAAACCATTCCAAATTTAAATTAATTTTTATTAGAACAATGAGACAAAAATTGCGAAAGAACTATCACTACCTACCACAAAACTTCGAATTACTAATCAATCACTTAAATTAAGCTTAACTGAAAAAAACATTATCACGATTACTGATAAACTTATTACTAATTCCAAATTCACAACTTGTTGAATTCACTACTGATTCACTATCTGTCTCACAATTCGCTCAATTCTCAACTAAATGACCTTGTAGTCGCGGACTTCCTATATCGCGCCTCTATATCCTATAATTTTCTATACAATTCGCTTATAAGAATTTTCGAATAATATCAACTCTCGATCATTTCGTTATTTAAAAGGTCATTCCTTCCACGTCAAATTTCATTGTCGAAAATTCTAGTCTCCGGGTAGGGGATGAAACGGATTTAAGGGCTCTCTTTTATTTTAAGCCCTACGGATCATTCATTAAGACATTCCTGAGTACCCACATGCGGTGTTACCAGATTTTGAACAAGATTCGTTCATCAAGTACGAAAGGGAGGTTTAATAAGGGCTATTTGTTTTATCTATGGGACAGACTGCGTATAGCAGCGTATATGAAAGGTAATTCCAGAATAATATCCAATTCAAGCACAATTTCCCTAACTTGAAGAAAACGTACGTTTAGCAACGTCGCACTCCGTATGGTCGTAATATTCTAATGGAATTTACCCTAGGTATAGGAAATATCAATAAAGTAATAAAAGCGGCAATTATAATAAATGTATGGAAATAAATTTGAAATGGCGTGATTAATGTTTCGAAACATTTTAAGTAAATTTTTGAAATCTCCCATTGAAAGTAATAAACAATAAACATTTTACATGAATGAAAATATTTGAAAGAATTACCTACTTTTCTCGCTCTCACTCATTTATTATACAAAATTTATGTCGCTAGTTAAAATAAATTACCTTTTATGTAACGGGCAGGCACAAACACACGGGTTCAACTTGAAAATAAATTAAGCCTGACAAGATTTTAAATCTTGTTCTTATAATGCAGTCAAGGTAACCGGTTCAGCTGTATTGTGGTTTCAGCGCGAACGTCGCATTATTATTGAGGTAGTACTTGGTACTCGGCGTTTTATGCGGCGTAAATACCTAATTGTCTTATTATTGTGAATATATCAATTGCATAATTGTAAATTGCACATCGAAGACTTGATGCGTCATTTTGCTTTTAGGTTTCAAATGATAAATGATTATCATAGCCGTGCCAAAAGCCACAAAAATCGTTCAATTTATTCTACTAACATGAGATTTCGCAGACATACGAAGATTAAATTATGGGGGTTGGATTTCAGATACCAAACAGAAGGTAGAAGACCTGAGAATGCCAAATATATATTCAATAATATATTAGATTAATATTGTTATACCTACGTTATAATTCTCTCAAGTTCGGGAAATTTTGCACAATCTTGCAACACTGCTTGATAACGAAAAAATTTGCAAATGCAATTTCATCGCGCAATAGTCCAGCGAATTCGAGACGCACGGGAGCGAATTATCTAGACAATTCTAGCTGCGACGACGAGCCATTAAACGAAATCGGCCGCACAGAGACGGATGGGACAGGCGGGAGACCGGAAAATTTCCCGGTGGGCCGGTCGGCCGTTGGTTGCGAAAAGTGACTATACTTATAAAATTGGTTAAAATATGCTATGATCAAGACATTACAAATGAAAACCATCAGAGAAATAATATGGAATGGATCGAAAAATCTGTTCGTAATATGTCTTAAGTTAATAAGAAACTGGATGAACTTGGATTGGACGTTGAATTAGAAACGACTTCTCAAGGCCAAGACGAGTTAAAAAGATTTTTGTTGAAAAATCTTCCGATGAGGCTCTACAAGATGAGCATAAAAGTTTCAATGTACAATGTGACTATGCAAATAGTACAGTCCGACTTTAATAATCTGATACCTACTCTAAAGGAAGTGCTCCTCATACGGAAAGTGTCTGTCAAATTAAAAAAGTCTCTGACAGTTTGCAACCTGTCAGGAACAATAATTGCTCAGCTAAGTTACCGAGTTATATTGGAACGACGGCATTGAAAACATGTATGGGCGATGCTAACCGGCAGTTTGCAAAAAAAAAAAACTCTTGTGACAACAGACCTTTTATGTGATGAGTCATGCCCAAAATATAGATACACCTCTGTGCTGATATAGAATTTCCAACCCAACATATTTTGGAAAAATAACGTGAAATGGCCTAGTACACTAGCCGACAAAAGTATGTAAAATGGTAATTTGGACCTTCTTCACAAGTTATCTCTTCAGAAAACTTTTGGTAGAACCAACATTTCGACTCATAGTGATGAAAAAGTGAATGCGTAAATAGATTTCAAAGATACAAGAACTTGCTCCTGCGTATATTGCTGTAACGTCGCTATTTTGAAATATTACCTGTATCAAGAGGCGTATTCAGTTTTAGTGTATCGATACATTTTGACTTCGGCAATCACGTGACATGAGGAATATCGTTTTTCTACGAGCGTGTGTGAAGTAGTACTTTCCCGCAAGCAAAGTTACAAGTTTCCTCAGTCCGTGTGGATAAGATCTTTCTCCGCACTGAGTGCCGAATTGCAGAATTAATTGTCAAGCAACAATAAGTGCACCCCCCATTTCTCCCCCGTTTCTATATCAGCAAACATCTATACAAATACCAAATATATTTAATTATTTTTTAATTTTTGTTGTTATGTGATATGAAGCTCGTGGGAAAAATATTGTTCCCAACATTTGCGTAAAGTCTCTTTCCTGCACTTGAAGCCTATCCAAACTCCGCTTTGCGTCCTTCGTCTAACTACTTTGGCGTGCGAGAAAGTACTACTTTGGACACTTGTTAGGAAACTATTTTCAATTTAAAATATATTAAGAATAGGGTAAGAAATAGGTTATAGGTGACAAGGAATCTTTCAGGCTTATGAACATAGAAATAGATCCCTACTCAATCAAATAGATAACGACGAAGATAATATTATAAATGTGTGTGCTTTTCGCTTATATTGCACTGACGAGGACATAACAAGTCCGAAACCGGTCTGCAATTAGCGATAGTACCCAATGAAAGAGAATTCAGTTTTCTCCATTGTCTTACAAAGCAAAACCACCAAGTATTGCGTAAATCTGACCGTGTCAGAGCAATACAAAACTCATAGTATGAGTAATTAACAGTGTGTTGGAGCTTTGGCGAAACACTTGTGTTTTTCCAAATAATCCTCTAACTTGGTTCGCCACACTGTCAAGTATTTTTCTATTTTCGAAAATTTATTTTCGAAAAATTGGATAATATTATAAATGAAGTCCTAACGTATTTTTTTTTTTTAGAAAAACAAAATATAATTCCTACACACGAAGTGTCAAGTGGGCCGCTTGACCCGAAATTTTTCCGGGCCGCAGTCAGTGATAAATAAGAAGTCCGTGTGTCGAGAGTCCATTAGTGAGTTGAATGCGAATAAGTTATAGTCTGTGCACCCAGAGGTTACCCGTAAGTTGTAAAACACAGGGCTGACAATAAATTAGTACAAGACCAAGTGAACGAATTTACAGTTAGTTCTTTAAAGTCCTTTTTCAAACTAATTTTAAAGTCGTCGAAAATCAATGTCTATAGAGTAGTTGCCTATTTAAAATTTACTTCATAAAAAATATCACTTGGCAAAATTATATTTTAAAGTAGGTAACTTCAAAAAATGGTACACCAGCACCTGAATTAATATAGGGCCTGTCAAAGTTTTTGGACAAGATTTATACCGAAATTCCAGTACTACCCAAAAGAAACGAAATGAAAATTTAAGAAAACGTGCTTCAAATACAGGTATCTATATATATATATATATATATATATATATATATATATATATATATATATATATATATATATATATATATATATATATATATATATATATATATATATATATATATAAAACACAGTTGTGTTGGTGTGTGAGCACTTATGACTCGAGAACGGCTGGACTGATTTTTATGATTTTTGCTTTATTGGATTTGTCTTAGTCCATCCTAACATAATAAATCGTAAAAATCCAAAAAAAAAACAAAAAAAAAAATTATCTATTTTACTTATTTATGAAAAAAACTCACTAAGCCCGCACACGGCGCCATCTCTTATAACCGATACCAAGTTTACCGTCACATTTTCATTGCAAACCATGTGGATTTTATTGTCACACACTTTGCACAAAAACAATTTGAGGAAAGCACTTTATTTTTAATTGTTCTTCACAGTAAAAATGTCCAAAAATAAATAGAATGACAATGTTTTAATTGTGTATTTTATTTTGTTGTTGGTTCGTTCATTCCGAAAGAGCGCGAACTGGTCTCCCTGTCATTTCTTGACGCTTGACCATTGACGTTCTGTGGCTAAGTTCCGTTTCTCCTCTTAGGCATCCCTTGACAGCCGTGTTCCGTGCCGACTGTTCGGAGTGCTCCGTCCGGCTGGTGTCGAGTGGCAGAGAGCCAGGTTATGAGTCCGCCACAACCATTTTGTATACGGCGCCATATATGATAGGTACCTAGAACGAAGCTCGCCGTTGCGCGGTAATTTCATTGCAGATACAGTAGAACAGAATACTGCTAAGGAACTGGAGCTATTCCGAACATAACTATTCCACTATTCCGATCAAATAAAGTGGTGCAGAAAGAGTAGATCAGATAAAATAGTGCAGATACAGTAGAACAGATGGAGTATTGCAGTGCATGCAGTGCAGATAAAATGAAACAGGGCTGCGCTGGAGATTTTTTTTGTTTTCTTTACATTTTTTGAACATTCCTGTGCCTGAGTTTATTTATTTGGTGGTACACTTTATAAGAATAATGCCCACAAGATGCCTAAAAAGAGATGATGTAAAATTTTAATTTTAGGTGACTTCTGATCCAGAGAGTAAAAATTAATTTTCTTCAACCAAAGCCAAATTCACCATCGAACAAAACTGAATTTAATTCAGTTAATAGATACGTTAACACAACATTTAATAGGTATTTAATAATTCAGAGGAGGTACGAAGTTCGCCGGGTCAGCTAGTAGGTTAATAATTTTAAATAATTATTACTTAATTATATTATTATTATTTCCTAGTTTCTAGGTGTAGAAGCTGGTGCCTGAATTATACCTAAAGTATTAGTACTTGATGATTTTCCAGGTAGCAAATAGCAATAATTAATGCATAGTTTACAATAAGTAGGGCGGTACTTGCTGAATTTTGAATAAATTGGTTATTTAGATACAACTGACTAAGTATTGTTAGAAGTTCACTAGCCAGCTTAGTTGTATTTTGTGTGATTATTAGAATATAAGTGTGATTGAAAATGAAAACCAAAAAAGTGCATTTATTAGGACGAGACGAACGAAAATTGGTGCTATCTGTGGAACAATATTTTACTGTAGAAAAAAAAACGGTGGTTGATTGAAGTCCGTCCTAGCAGTTCAAGATCGTACTGCTGAAGCATGTGGAATTTCCAGAAAAACTTTATATAACATCCATAATTTGAAAAAAAGAGGGCAAAACTGACCAGAAGGTGAAGAGGAGTAGATTAAGTTCTAAAAGTTATGACTTACCAGACCATGTAAAATACGATATTAGGCAGGAAATTTATAATATGTGCAAGACAAAGGAATTCGTTACGCTAGATACTTTGCAGCGCATCTAGAAGAAAAAGATATATGCCATATATAGAAAAAACAAGTTTAAGAAAAGTACTGCCACAGTTAGGTTTTAGGTATAAAAAATCCAAAAACAGAAAATGTTTATGTGAGCAACAACATGTTATTAGTGAAAGATGGGCCTTTCTAAGAAACTACTTGAAAAATAAAAACTCCACTTTCTCGAGAGATGTTGTGTTCTTGGGTGAGACATGGATATTTGCAAAAGGGAGCCAAGACAAAAGAGCGTGGCAGGATGAAACCAAGTATTCCACGATAACGGGTAAAGGAAAACGCTCGGGAAAACGATACATGATTCTACATGCAGGCAATAAGAACAGATTTATACCAGGGGCAAGTCTGATATTTTCTGCAACTTCAAATTCAG